GACATTATCAACAAGGAAGTTGATGAAATGCTGCACAACGGGATAATAGAGCCGTCCGACAGCCCGTGGAGTTCACCCGTCGTCATCGTCTGCAAAAAGGATGGAAAACCTCGATTCTGCATCGACTTCCGAAAAGTCAACGAGGTTACCGAGAAAGACGCATACCCGTTACCGTACATCAACGCGATACTGGACAAGCTCCGCAAGGCCCGATATATCTCCAGTTTAGACCTCAAGCAGGGATACTGGCCGATACCACTTACTGCCGACAGCAAACCGATCACTGGTTTCACCGTCCCTGGCCGAGGCCTGTTCCAGGTTCGAGTCATGCCTTTTGGACTTCACTCGGCTCCAGCTACATTCCAACGACTCTTAGATAGGATCATTGGACCGGAAATGGAACTCTATGCGTTTGACTACCTGGATGACATCATCGTGTTAGGGGAGACCTTTGAAGAACACCTGGACAACTTACGAGAAGTATTCCGCCGACTACGAATGGCTAACCTGCAGCTAAACCCCGACAAATGCCAGTTCTGCAGGAAGCCACTCAAATACCTAGGACATATCGCCACCGCTGAAGGGATTCAGACAGATCCTGAAAATGTGGACTCGATCAAGAAGTTCCCCCATCCCTCGAAACATCCGAGACGTCCGCCGCTTCCTAGGAAGGGCTTCCTGGTACCGACGCTTTGTACCGGCATTTTAACAGATTGTGATTCCGTTAACCCGACTACTCCGGAAAAATCACCGTTTCAAGTGGACCAGTGACCAAGAAGAAGCCTTCAACCACTTGAAGAACTGTCTGACCGAAGCTCCGATTTTAACCTGTCCGGACTTCGAGAAACCATTTACCCTCCAGACCGATGCCTCCGACCATGGACTGGGAGCAGCTCTGACCCAGAATATCGACGGATAGGACCGAGTGATAGCGTATGCTAGTCGCACACTGTCGCCTGCCGAAAAGAATTACTCCGTCACTGAACGAGAGTGTTTGGCTATAGTGTGGGGCATAGAGAAGATGAGACCGTATCTTGAAGGCTATCACTTCACTGTCCTGGCCGATCATCAATCTCTGAGATGGCTGCATTCCATCAAAAGTCCCGCCGGCCGTCTAGCCCGATGGAGCGTATTCCTGCAGCAATACGACTTCGAAATTAAATACCACAAAGGAACCCTAAACCGAGTAGCCGATGCCTTGTCTCGTCAACCGATAGAAGGAACTTCTTCTGCACCAAGTACCGGAGAACTATGCGTCCTGAATGAGTCGCCAAATTGTTCTTGGTATAGCAGAAAGAAGTCGGAAGTCGAGAGAAACCCTGAAGCATTCCCGGATTATTGCATACGCAATAACCGTCTGTTCCGCCACTTCTGGGATTCCAGCGACTTAACCGAACCCGATCTATCCGATCCATGGAAGTTATGCGCCCCCAAGCCGCTCCGCTCAACGGTTTTGCAAGAGAACCATGATGCTCCGTCCGCTGGACACATTGCTAAAACCATCCGTCGCGTATCACAGAAGTACTACTGTTCCGCTATATCACCAAGTATGTACGAAGTTGTATGCAGTGTCAGCGGTACAAGCCTTCGCAGCAACAAACTTGCAGGCAACCGTCCGTCACCCGTCAACCATGGGACACCGCAAGCACCGAAGTTCAAGAAGTTACCGTTTCAGTATCAGAAGTTTTCCTAGAAATACCGCTCGCAAGAGTTCTGGAAAACCAGCCAGAACCTGACATTCAACCAATCCGCCCGCCGCCACAATCCTCGATAGATTATCCACGCTATCTACCAGTAAAACGATACAGATTATGTTGGAGATGTGGATATCCTGGTCATTCCCGTCAAACCTGTACCCGGACACGACGGTTGTTTTGCTCCCGATGTGGTCAGTATGGCATAATGTCCAGAGACTGCCCATGTGAAAACCGCCCGCATAACGCCTGTCCGTAACTCCTCGGCACCGATCACGTTCACTTTCCGGACACCAGACTGCATCAAGAGGAGTGCAAGTTTATTACCCTGATATTTTCCGCCGACCAGAAACCACTTCCAAGAGCGTCCAGTGTGATCTCCTGCCTTGAGCCTGAAGATCCGAAACCCGACCAGTACCGTTTTATGTTAATTTTTTATTTTTCAGGGACATTTTTGCTGTAAAGAATATTAAATTTTGTTTAGTTTTGTATAAATGCACTTTGTTACGGTTTTATTTGGGCTAATATGAACTAACTATAAAATAATTCCGAACTATATTTATCCAGGGTTAGTTCCATATTGTTATGCTTGGGCCTCTTCTTTTGCACCTACCTTTGGTTACCTAAACGGCGAGGAGTTCCATAAATGCTGTGTATTTTGCCAAAACATGCCATGCCAGTTGTCATAATTTTCCAATTTTGAGGTTAAGGGTCATTGCTATTATTTTATTAATTCTTCTTCTTCTTCTTCATTCAAAAGTAGTTGGTCATCAGCTGTTCGATGTGGCTCAAAGGAAACCAGTCTGATTTTCCATGGGTTTTGTTTCTTCTGGGGCTTAATTTTTGAAAACAGGAGAACTGATTCTCCAGAGAAAAAATTCACCTGACAAATTTCTCTTAAAAACTTAAACACTTATTTTTGAACGTTGAAGGAATCCAATTCTCTAGAGAATTTAATTTATGCCGTATGTCGAGGATATATTTGCAACTGACCAATCAGCGGGCAGAGTTTTCTTCAATATTTCAGTGCCATTATTGGCGACCCTGATGTTTAATCACTTGATTTGATTTTGAAGTTTGTTTTGTAAATTTCATTATATTCGTCAGGGAGACTAGACATCTCCATGATATTCGTAGTAATTTAATATAACTTCAATTTGAATAGAAGTATATTTGAAAACACAAAAAATTTAATATTATTATAATTATGATGAAGCGTTCGTTCACGTCGAAAGCGCAAAAAAGAAATTAATGTTTAGAAACAACGAAGAACTTTTTAAAATGAAATTTTTCTTCTAGTTTCACTCACAAAAAGGCCCAAAAACAGTGGTCAGATATTGCTTACACTTTAAATGGTTTAATTAATGTTGTCGCGGATGGTTTACAATTTCTGCAGCTTGCAAATTATTCATTATATTTAGAATTAATAATAAATTATTTGGATCCATTACAAATTTCAAATTTCAAATGATTACGCACCTTCGAATAGCGAATGAATGAAGTGACAATTCGCGCATGAGCATGAGATGACATTTGGATTCAAACTATTCGGAGAAAACGCCAATTCCTCCGACAAAACCCTGTGGAATTATTTCTCTTGATATCTAGAGAAAATATTCCACAAGAAAATTTCAAAAATCACATTATCTGTACGTGTGTCAAGAGAAAATGACGTAATTTTCTCTAATGAACTAATTCTCCTGTTTTCAAAAATCAAGCCCCAGGTGGGAAAAAAATTTCCTTTTAACTTTGAGAATTTTACTTTTCTTGAGAGATAGACAATTACGCCTTGTGCGGATTTCCGTGTCAAAAGAGCTCCAAAATTAAGGTTTTTTTTGCACTTGTTAAGATCCTGGAACGATCTTCCAATATTTTGGATTTGTGGCAAATAATTAATTTTGTGATCAAAACCCGAGTACTCCACAAAGGCCGCCCAACATCGTAAGGTATGTACTGACCCATTCCTCCAAACACATATTAGTGGCATTTTCAACACCGCTTTGATTTATTACTCGTAGAGGTCTCTTACGATACCTTCGTTTACAGGCCTTCTCCTTATAGTCCCCCGCTTTAACGGTGGTGCATGCTTTACTCATCTGCTTGGCTTATTGCCTGCTTGCTTGCCGACCTGCTGCTTGTGGTTTACTTCCTTGCTGCACACTTGCCTAACTGGAGTCACAGGTCACATTTAATCATTATTATCATAGGTTAAGAATTAACTAAGGCACGGAATAACCAGCCAGCCGTTATATAGGCACCTGAAGCTGGCGGAGTCCTAAAAATAAGCATACTCTCCCTAACTGAATTCTCCCAAAACTACTGATACGTATAGTAAGAAAATATGTTCACATATGCATCCTTACCTAGATAAAAGTCGCCCTCTTAGGGGACATCTGTTTATTATTAAAGATTAGCTGATTTCTTAGTACTTAACTCGTATGTAACCTTTAAGTATATACTTCAAGGACCCAGAGCTCTCATATAACTGTATTAATAATTTTTATCCACGACTATTGTATAATGTACCCATTATACGTCTGTTTGCTCGACCTTAATAATACCCATTAATCACGGCAGTGATTAATGAGTCATTACTCACTACTGTCAGATGCTTCCTTAATTTAGCTATAATATTGTTCTGCTACAAACAAACCGTTTTTAAAATTTTATCGTGTAAACCACTCAATATTTTCAATTCAGTGCTGTACATATAAAAAAAAAATTAAAAAAGTGAATTTTCCTAGACCGGATTCGAACCCGGGATCCGCGGTTGGAAGGGAAAGAACATCTACACTGAGCCATCAGCGACTTCATTTGCGCGAGTCGTATATCTGTTTCTTAACATACCATGTTTTTCGAAACATTTCAAAAAAAACTTCAACAAAAATATTTAGTATCGTGGATAAAGTATAGTATTCTACTCCCGTATAATGGGTATTATTCACTCGGTGATTTAGGCCACTCGCCTGCGGCTCGTGGCCGTAAACTTCACCTCGTGAATAATACCCATCATTATACGCTCGTTGAATAATATACTATTATCGGATTTAGCCCTTTTCAGCGCCTTGTAATTACCTTTATAGTACGTAATAGTTTTGTTTATTAGTATTAGTATATAACCCCATTTTGGGCTCGTGAGCTGTCAGTGTAGTCGTAGTGTAGTTGACAGATTTACCGGCCTACAGGGGGATTATGAAACAGAATTCGAATCGAATCGCCATGTTTATTCGAAAGATGGAATTGTAAACGCAATTCGAGACTCGTTTATCGTTTGTATTCGATTCGTATTACAAGAGAGTAGTGGAGGTCTCGAAGTATTGTCTTGTCCTTTTTTATTTTATTTCCATCTATCTCTATTCTCTATCATCTTCACCAGAAAACTTGCTTACTGAAAACGGAATGTTCAAAGTTAGAGGTTAAGTAATTGTTTACTGTAACCAAACCAAATGAGAGTATTTGTCATATGTATTTTTTACAAGTAATTTTGTTGCCAATTTATTAGTTTTTTTAAATATATTTTCAAAACTTATATTTCTAGCATTGTTTGATGAAATTACGGAAATTGGATTAAAATTACAAATATGGCATTTAAAATTAACCATAGTCATTGGGAGGTGTTGGTAGATTTCATGGAAAAACACCCAGACTTGGCGAGGGGTAGTTTTTCAGGACCTAATGGAAAACAAGAAATGAAGAAACTATGGCAACAATTAAGCAACATTTTAAATGCTATAGGTATGGGAGAAAGATCCACAGAGAAATGGCAAAAAGTAAGTATATTCATAATTTTTATTGGCTTTACAATATAGTGTATCGTTTAAACTTATAATATTCTTATTTCATATTGTTAGACATGGTGCGATCTTAAATATACAATTAAAAAAAGGGCTTCACAAATTCATAAGGATCAAAAAGGTACTGGCGGTGGACCATCTAGTGCTAGAAACCTAACACCATTCGAGCTAAGAATTTTGGATGTATTGGGAAATACATTTCATCAAGGTGTAGGGAGTAAAGAATATGGAGCAAGAATCAGTTTAGAACTGTTGACAATTAAAAAATGTTTTATTTCATAAATATAATTTGAATGAAATAATCAAATTGTTACATATTAGACGACACCGCTCCTCAATTACAGGAAACTATATTCCTTGTTATTTTACCATTAAAATACAAGTATAATTTTGGTTCCTATTAATTATTGTATATGACTAAGCTTAACTAAGAAAATCAGTAACTTTTTTGTTTTTAGGTTCCAACAGATGACTTATTGGAACAGTGTGATATAGTCATAGGCGATGCATTATTGAATTCTGACAGAATAAAAAAGTGGACACAACTAGTAAACGAAATGAAGAAATCTATGTAGACTCATCTGAAGTAGATCATAATTATACACCAAGAAAAAGAGAGAAAACTACACAAGAAAATGAATATGAAATGTTAGTAGAATCACTGAAAGAAATAAGAGAAATTAATATTAATTTGAATAATTTGTCAAGTACCTTAATGGATATGACATTTTAAAAGTTTTTGGGTAGCCAACAATAATTTTTGACTGCCCACAACCTATAACTGTTTTCTTATGATTGTGTATAGAGAATAAATTTTTGTTTTTTATAATTTAATTTTTTTAACCTTTTTATTATGACACATTATTTATTAAAATATATTTTTTAAAGAATTACAAATGAAAGAAATTTTTGAATACTTTATTTAAGTAAAATATCTATTTACAATTGTTTGTCTTGCTCTTAATCCTTGTAATCGTCCTCCCTGGTTTAACACTAATTCTCCATGTTGCTCAAATCTCTCGTACTGTTCTAGTTCACCTATTATATTAATATTGTTTGTAATACACACATTGTGCAAAATAGCACAAGCCGTAATTATTTCTGACACAAAGACGGGTTCATATCTTAAAACTCTAGCTACACACCTAAACCGCATTTTTAAAAGACCAATACACCTTTCCACGCAGTTTCGAGCTGCCATGTGTGCTCTGTTGTATCTGGCTTCTGGAGAGTTTTCAACGACGAATAAAAGAATCGTGATTTTTTCCTCCAAAATTGCTAAAAACATTCAATATTTTCAAGTCTGCGTTACAAATAATTTGGCAATTAATTGAATGAAAACCTAAAAAACATATACTTAACATTATTTAATTATAAAAATATTTTATTTTATACCCTTCCTATTAATAAAATTATGTTCGTCTATGTGAGGCTTTAAAATTGCTATATGGGTGCAATCAATTGCACCCACTGTTCCAGGAAATCCCCAAATATTTAAAAACTGTTGTTTTGTGGCAATTCTTTCGTGTCTCGTTGACGGAAAACTAATTTTATTGTGCCAAACTTAATTATTGCAGGCACCACTGACATGCACCGATGTTTGATTCAGACCAAAATTATGCTCTTCTCCGACGCATCTCTGATAACATCCAGTTGCCAAGAATCGTAGTGTTGATAATACTTTTATTTCTAAAGATATGCCTCTATTATTTTTTCTTCTAGACAGTTCTGCATTAAGTTCATCAATAAGCTGTCGAGCAAGTTCTTTGTTAAGCCTAAACAATTCAATAAATCCACGTTCAGGCAATGCAAATGGATTACTGTTATCCATAGATAAAAGAGTTACTGTTATCCCTCAAATGCCTCCTGAAAGAAATAATTTGCTGATTGTCTCTTCGTCTTCTATTTCTGTTAATTATTGCCATAGGTAGCATTGTCTTGTCTGTTATTCAAATTTAAGCGCTTTGAAAAGTGCAAAAGTAGGGTTAAAGGACATCCATAATAGTTCAAATGCTTCAAATATCCGAAGATTGACGACATGGAGACTAGATAAGGAGCACGAACTCATATGGGAAAATTGACAAAATTTGTCCAAGAAATGGCAGAAGTTGGGGTGGCGCTAGTGTTCCATATGACCCAAATGAATGTAGCTTCATAAATACGAGTGAAGTAAGCAAATAACCAATTTTTGAGTTTAGTAGATATATTGGGGTTGGGGAGCGGGGAGGTATACTAACATAAAAACTAGAAGTCAAGTCAATAATTATTACAATTTGTTTTTATAAATGGTAAATAAAAAGTTTCGAAAATAATTTAAATATGGTAATAGTATGTGAAGTGAATGGCTGTCAACAGATTTAAAATAAAACAGTACGTTTGTGATCTGCATTTTCAATGTAATGATGTCCAGCAGTTCTATATTACAACTTGACCGAAATAGGGTTAATATTATGGCAAAAGGTCGAATAATTCGGAAGTT